AGAGCGGGAACAGATGGAATTTCCCCTTCATCTCGAAGTTTTGACAGTTTCAAGTTACACCGGGAGAGGTAGGATGGCGCATGTTGCGCAAAATGTTTGCTTTAAGCTCCTTGATAAACTTAGCTGCCTTGTTTGAATCTAAATTAAAAAGACCCATCGTTTTTTTCAATGTACTACATATATTATATATCAATAAAATCAATCATTTGATATGACACGTTCGGTTCATATATCTTCGATGACCTTCTCCCCCGTTATTTAAAATCAGGTGGACTTGTTGCTCCATTTATGATTTCATAATTTAACTCAATTTTCAGCACTGCGAAGACAAATTTTCAATTGAGACGCCTGTTTTTTAAATGAAATTGATATAAGGGTAAACGCACGAGCCGCTAGCCGCGGCAGATGGCGGTCACGCGGATGTTAGTTTGTGTAGGAATAATTGGAAGTCAACTCACTGGCAACCACGTAACCGCGCGGACGCCGGCATTGGACGCGGCGAACACGGAGACCGCGCGGACTTTCATGACGACTAACCTAGCAACCAGCCATCCGCGACGGTTTCCGTAAAGCAATCCGCATTTCCCCGCGGTACCGCTCATCCGCCACCCGCCGCGGTGCGCGGCTCGTGCGTTATTACCCTTTAGTGTACGGCCAGACTGAATTGCGGGCGGGCGTGAAGCGGGCGATAAGCGAGCGAGCGATTTTTTCAAAAGCTAATGCACAGATGTAAATAGCCACACCGACGCTTAGCGGGCGGGCAAAAATTAAGCGTGCGATAAAAGATTAATTAAACTTGTTTGAAATTCTAGCGAGCATGTTTGGATTTTTGGATAGTTTGCTGCTGTGTTTCTCGTAAAACAGATATAAATAAAAAGAAATAAAATGTGTAGCAGTAATAAACATGAACAGAAGGAGCTCCTGATATCTGAAGTTCATACCAGAAGACCTTTGTGGCAAGATAGTCACCCTTTATATAAGAATAAAAATGCTGTTGATAAATTATGGCAAGAAGTGGCCGAAGCATGTAATTGTAATGGTAAAGGAAACACTTTTTTGAACACAGGTCTATATTATACTTATCAATATGAACGTATATAATTATTTAATTACACACACAATCACATAATTATTTAATACATAGTAGATGTGTAATTAAGTTGGCAAGTGGAATAAGTAGTCAGCAAGTTGTTCTCGAATTTCAATTGCTCTTGAACTCCCTCGATTATTCCTTCTTCCATTAAAGGCAGGTTGATTATTTTCCTGATATGTGACGATAGTGGAGATCACTGTCGCCATCTTTGTCTCTTACTAAATTATGCAGGATGCAAGCACACTTAATAAGTATGCAAGCTTTGTCAGGCAGTGTTTCTATGTCTTTATTTAAAAAACGCCATTTGGCACACAGTATTCCAAAAGCACACTCGATACATTTTCTAGCAGTGGAGAGGCATTTGTTAAAGTATTCTTTTTTGGGATTAAGTCCGCGTCTCGGATAAGGCCTCATTAAATATGATTTTAGAGGGTACGCTTCGTCACCTATTAAAAAATATGGCAATTCTATATTTGTGTTCGGTAAATTAGTAGGACGAGGGACATTAAAAAAATTACTTTCTAACAAATTGAATATCGTTGATCCTGCAAATGTTCCACCGTCACTTTGTTTACCACGGCCTCCAACTTCAATGGTTAAAAATTTTTTGTCCGCATCTGCTACAGCTTGTAGCACGACAGAGAAATAGTGTAGATAATTAAAATAATGAGATCCAGAATTTGGTGGGCATCTTATTTGACAGTGTTTTCCATCTATCGAACCGAAACAATTTGGAAATTTCCATCGATTAAAGTAGTCAGCTATAACTTTCTTTAAACAGTTCTCAGTTGGAATTGGCATAAATTCTTCCACTAGTTCTTCCCAAATAATTTGGCAGGTTTCGAAAACTATGTTGCTTACTGTAGATTTTCCCATTCGAAAAGCAAATGCTAACGATCTGAACGATGAACCCGTTGCCAAATACCTAAAAAATCTATAAATAAGTATAAATATCACCAAAAGTTTTGTAAATATAAAAATCATAAATTAGCTATAATAGTGTATTAAATTATATTTTCTTTTTAGTTACGGATGCCAAAAACAGGTGGAAAAATTTAAAAGATCAGTTCAGAAAGGAGGTGAAAAAAATACCCATTCCCAGATCGGGAGCCAGTGCACCACCTGTAAGACCAAAGTGGCAGTATTTTGAACAAATGTATTTTTTAAAAGATCTTGTTACTCCTTCCCCTACACAGGGGAATTTGATTTCTTGCAATGAAGATTCAAATGAAATCGAAGAACTTCATTCCGTTGAAAATAATGAAAACAATGAAGCCAGCGATCTACATTCACAACCTTCTTCACCCTCATCAATGCCGCTAAGAACACCACCTAGAAGCAGCTCAAGTAGGTAAAAGGACCAAAAAAGAAGAATTTTTAAGTTTAGAAACTAAAAAAATTGAAATGTGGCAAAACGAAGCGAAAGACAATGATAACGCCGATTTACTGTTCTTTAAAAGTCTATTGCCCCATATGGCTGATTTCACAGAATTTGAAAAACTAGAACTTAAGTCGGATATCATGTCATTAATTTTGAAGAAAAAGAAAAAAAAAACTGCCAGAGCAGCAGCAGATTTTACAACTTCCGCTTTTGGAAACTGGTAACTTGGAAAACCAAGCAGGCTGCAATTACGACCCAGGTTCATATTTAGCGTATAATATTATATAATGTAGTTTTTGTTAGAAAATTTGGTTAATTAGCCTGTTATAATAAAATTAAATAAAAACTTTTATTTCTATAACTAGCATTTCATTATTATATATAAAAAGAATATATTCTTACCTTAATGTTACTACCAGTCTTTCTTCTGCTGATATAGGAGATCGATAATTTGTCATAATTTTCGTAAACCTCCTATTAACCTTACTTAATAAAAAATCATATGTGCTTATGGACATTCTTAGGTATTCAAAGAATTTTTCCGGGTATTCTCTTAATTCGACGTATAGGTGGTGAAATTCTCCAAATTTTTTTCTCCTTTTATTAATAGGATGTATTCCATATCTACGAGACTTCTCCAAAAATAATTTCCACTTCATATAGGGGTTACTGTCTATTAAAATATTTCTTTTTAGTTTTGATAAGGGCGCCATGTTTACTGGCGACAGCACACAACTAATCTGCGATTTTCTATTTTTAGTATGGTCAAAAAATCGCCTTGCAAAAAATCACTCGCTCGCTTATCGCCCGCTTCACGCCCGCCCGCAATTCAGTCTGGCCGTACACTTAGATCTGTCACCCGCTACCCGCTAGTATCTCACAGACGTTAGGCGGGTACCCCTACCACGTGTTTTTTTGACATTTGGACGACGTCACATCCGTCTTCCCCTATTCCCCTTCTTCGCGAAAATTTGAGCGTTAGTTGGTCAGTTCCCGGTAGTGCACTGTGACACACACACAGGACACACACTGTGCTATGCCGTGGATTCCCGAAAAAATCCGTTAAGTGTACAGACCACAGACATGTGTCACAACACAGACACAGACCATCGACTAATTGTGACAGACCACACTGTAGGCATGGGTAACACTAATCAAATCCAAGCGAATAACCAAAATTTCTGTGTTATGTGCCGCGGTTATAATATGGTTCAAGATGACACACGGGTCGATGACGTCAGTTACACGAATCCCTTGAACGCGTTGGTTTTAACCGCGGTTTTGTTGCAAGTTGTTTATTTTAGAAAAGCGCGTATATAATCTCTGAATATTTTTATTATCACTTAATAATCGGTGCTTTTTCGTCTACAACTGTATATGGAAAGTTTAAATAAGAAATCTTTCATAATATTCATGGGAGAAATGTTTTTTTCAGATTTTTTTTAATGATGGAACCATGGCTTTGTAGCTATGGTAACTTCCAATTCTCTAAATTTTTCCGCATGTCAAAGAAAACATTTATTGATTCAGCAGAAATGATGAAAAAAGAAATTAACAAAACCGTATACAGGTGGATATCATCGAGTGAGTTTATATGGCCATATATTAATATTCTTGTGGTATATGGCTACACAGGATACTTTGTTAAGCATAGGAACTACATTTAAAGTGTCCCCAACAACCGTAATGAGTATAAGGTGCTCCACTTTATGGTAATACTGAAGTCAGCCTGTATCATTTTTCTCAAAAATGAAGCTGAAGTACAATAACAATATCCAATACCCGGCAAAATTCTAACTTGTCACATTTCAAATAATAACCAGAAATATAAAACTACTCTTGAGTTGGGTAAATACCACAATTTTGCGGTGATAACTATGACATATGATTCGTGACGTCACGGATCTTATAACCAAACTGATAACTACACTTGAATGGATTGGTAAATACCAACCCAAAATGGTAAATACCATTTCCATTTGGTTATCCGCTTGAATTTGATTACTGTGCTGGTAGTGATGTAAATATTCGGAATATTTTGATAACCGGTTACACGGAAACGGATGAATAGAATATTCGGATGAATCATCCGTAATAATATTACGTATCATCCGTAATATCAGGTGCCTCAGGTGGAGCCAATCCGGCAAATACATGCGGTTTTATGCGACCTGGCAACACGGAATACGGATGATTGAAATAATACGTGCAGTGTGCGCTGCATGTTGCATACTTATACGGATGAAAATGAGAACTCCTATTAAAAATCATACGTATTATTATTCTTCCATGAAAGTTTCTTCCGGACTTCTAATCTAACTTTCCGTTGTATGTTGTTGTTGTTGTTGCCTTGTTAATTTCATTGCAAAAAACGAAGAACGCAAATCACACACATTCCGTATTAAAAATAATACGTAATAAATTGATATTCGGCATATTACGGAATAAATGAATATTCGGATTGTACCGTTATTTTAATCCGTATTCCTACATCACACTGCTGAGTGGAGTGGCACATTTGTGTCGACACCTTCCGCGGTATCATGTGTATTGAAACAGCGCCACCTTCAACTAAGTTAACTTAGTTGAAGGTGGCGCTGATTGAAACAACTTGTGAAACAATGACACCCTGACACTTTGGAAAATGGCGGAAAGTTAAGTCCCAAGTTTCGTGAGCGCCGCTCCGCGTTCCGCCGTCGAGTTGGATTGGATATTGGATGGCACGGTGACACATGGGTGACACTGTGCGATTTTACTATTCCGACCGTTCGAGTCATTCCAAGATTAGTTGTTAGTAGATTGTAGATTGATAGGTTGCCTCGTAACGTAACTGCTTGAGAGGAGTGACACAAGAGGGACTTTGTTTCCGTGGTGACTTTGAATAATTCCCCTATTCCTCGCCGAAGTCACCGTTTTTGATTCCCAGAATACCTAAACGTGCCATACCCGCGTTTTAATAAATGTCAACGTCGGCACATCGCACTGGATCAGTGTGGCCACTGGCCACAGTAAGCCCATTTTTTGTTTCGGCACCGTACCCGCGTACCGTACATACTGTGTCATAACACAATAGTGTTGACACATGTTTTGATACACTAAGCACTGTGTGTGTCATTGTATCAACACGCGAAAATTTGCAGTGTTACCCATGGCTACCACACTGACACTGACCCACCACTGACCACGTGACCACAGACCACAGGTTTCGTGTTTGTGTTGTGATGATTTGTGGTCATGGCACAGTGGCAAGTGTATTTGAGAAAATTAAATTGGAAATATTAGCAATTTGATATATCTTATCTACAGTCAACATAAACGTATTTGGATTTCAATCAGAAATCAAATTTCTGTGAATCGGATGGCGGGTCGGTGGATCCAACGATTTTTAATATTTTCTGGTTTTCAAAGCTAACGTGCATTGTAAATAAAGATGAATACGAACAGGTAAACAATTTTTCTTAATTATTAATCCATCTCGTTGGGGACTCTTGAAGAGTGAAGCTTGTATCCAAACATGCTTTATTTCAACTTCATTTTTGTCGCAGTGAACCTGGTCAATGTAATTTGGATAGCAAAGAAATAAAAGCCGTAGACCAATCATCACACATTGAAGCATTCCATCAAAACACTGGGAAAACACCAATAGGGTTGATTGAACAGATTCTGTTGAAGAATGAAATTGATAATTCTGAAACCCTGAATGGTATAAACAGGTAATTAATAATGGTAATAAAAATGCTCAGATAAATAATGAATGCCATTTGATATTTGAAATTGTCTCATACTGACTTACTGCTACTACTTGTTGTTGCTTCTCATTGCGGTCCAGAGGACCTTAGCCTTCTACTTAGACATCTACTGTCCTGTCAATCCATATGATCTACTTGTTGACATCTTTGGTGTGATCCCTCAATTTTACTTTGAGTTTTGTCAAAGTTTTCTGATCTTTTATATCTGTATATAATTTATCATATTCATTCAACCCTTGATGGAATACAGATTTGTAGCATATGTTATACTTTTTGGTCATTAAATGGTATTATGTAAATGATGGTCGGCATTTGATAATGTTAAATTAGTTAGACTTGGTGGAAATATATTATTTTTCACTTTATAAATGAATATCATTGATAAAATGATTTCAGATCTTGGTTTTTGGTTTGGTGTAGATATTTTGGGTAGTTGAAAGAAATGGGATTGAAAATGAGCACAAACATGAAAGTTCTGAAATATTTTACTATATAATAGGTTTTTATTGAATGTTTGTTTTCATCTCCATCAATTAATTAATTACAACCTAAACCTCATGCCTTTTTGGACATAGAAACAAAAATGGCTGGTGTAACTAATCTAGAAAATTACCATCCTACCAAACCAGTAGGATTCCAGTTGGCACTTATAGAACCTGATATTTTGACATGGTGTCACCTCTGGTAGTACTTTGTGATGTTAGTTTGACACATGTGCATATATAGATGAGGCAGGTGCTCTTATCCAAGGCTTGTCAAAATGAAGTGACATGCTCAGGTACAGGGTTCATTCAAGGCTTAATCAATATCTTTCACATGAGAAATCACTAGGTTAGTTGAAAACTGCATTAATTTTGCTAAAAGTACTTTATATGTGCAGGGTGTTTCAAATTTGGCTTTCACCATTGAGATTTCAGAGGTATTAAGCAATACAAAGTAGTTTATGGAGACAGATAGGGAGGAAAAACCAAGTTTACCCCCAAAGCATATCCATTTTCCAAATTATATAAGTTAACATTAAAAATACTAATTACAAGAGTAAATATATATGTATATATATACATAGGGGCCGTTCAAGTATTATGTAAGCAGATTTATTACAATTATTTACCCCCCCATCCCCCTTGTCAGCAAAAGTAAGCAAAGCTCTTACCCCCTCCCCCCATGCTTACATAAACATTTGTCAATTTTAATGTATTGCTTTTTTTTAATATTATAATTATAACGTTATAATTATAATCTGAAAAATAAGAAAATAGATTTAGGATAGAGATTATATTTTACTGATATGGTATTCAACATAGAGTAAAGGACAAAAATATTATATCTTACTAACATAACAAACTTATTTTAAATTTTTGGTACATATATTAAATTCAAATTAACAGTCTTCAGTCCATGAAACCTGAATCCATGATTCTAAGTTTTTGATGACGTTGGATTGCTTCGATTGCTACTCAGTGTTGTGAGTTTGCTCGCTTTCATCGGATTTTGGAATGTCTACGTCATTCTCATTGAGCCATTCAACATCATGGTGCTCTAAATTTTGAATAATGCACAGCAGTTCATTAGCACGACGAGCAGCGACTCTTACAGGTCTAACTTTCCTATCAGTGTGCGTGTTTATTTTTTTATGGATATTTTCGGTGACGATTTAGTGACTTGACGGAAGCATGATAAAGACCACACGTTTTGCAAGTTCGACTTGATAGCCACAATTTTACCGTCGGACAACAATAATTGTAGGGCATTTGCAGGAAATGTTTGAGTGAAGCACTTAAGCATAGAGCTAAATTGACTGGAAGATTAAGAAATTGCCCTCCTTCATCCAAAACCAAGTCATCAACTGTTTGTCTTACTTTTACAGGTGGTGGAAGAAACCTATTGTCTAGTAATCTAAATAGGCCACTTCTTGGACGACAGCATTCTGTATTTCTACATTGTACAATTTGAAGCAAGTATTGGCTCTCACGCACATGTTCTGAATACCATTTAATGTCTGGAAAATCAGGAAGATCTTGTTCACCTGCCCCAACATATTTTGCATTAAAATTATATCATTTCCATTGAACTCCATACTTCAGCTAATACATTTCCTGCAAATTCGAAATTAGATCTTTCTAAATGTTCATCAATTGTAACGGCACGTTCATCCAAATGAGACCCAAAATGGTCATGAGGCAATATTAAACCAACCAGTTCCCGACTAAGAGGAGCCATTCTGCGCTCTACTCTGTTATACGCACTTCTTCCAGGAGCATTGGTAGCTAAAAACAATGCATTGAGATTATCTCGCTTAAAGTGTTGTATAGCAAACCCTATGACTTTTTGATAACGTGGATTTTCATCTGGCCCTCTATCAACCGTCACTGGTTTTACTAGTCCATGGTCAATTTTAGCTAATGGTCGAAACTCTTCAAGTTTGAGAAGCGTCTCGAAATCCTGAGCATGGGTATTAGCAGTAGATGAACTATGCTTTCCAACGGCTTGTGGTTGTCCTAGCATATTTTAAGTGATTTTGATACCAGCATAAACAGATGGTATTAATTTATGACGCTCAGCGATTACCAAATCGTGATCAGGCAATTAGATTCTATATTCCATGTGCATTAGAAGAGGAGCTTGCGTATTTGCCGCAGTTACGCCAATAGGGACTCGAGCTTTATCATCTTGAGATATGAAAAATACTTGATATGGTCCAAGTAAGGAGGCTATGTTCTCTAAATAATGGATTGATGTTTCAGTAAACTTGCTATCTAAGTGGCTCTTAAGGTGATCAGTTTGAGCCCGAATGAGCTTAACGATACATGTCCCTCTGCAGAATTAGATTTTCTGGGAATCAAACGAAGATATGTCCCACTGCGACTAATGTCAAATCCTATTTTACATAATTCTTGTGTGTGTTCATCAAGGGGTTTTACGCTGCGAATTGATTCGGTTCGTCTTGTATCATCTGTTGCACTCCCAAATAAAGCTATATCCGCGATTGTTTTCAATAGTGAATGTTGATTGCTTTCAAGATTAGGACGTCCCACTGAATACCTCAGAGATATTTTTTTTTATTTCTGGATTTTCATGGCAAATATCTTCTAACTTTTTTTCATACCATCCTGTGTTTCTTCTGGGCCACTGCGTTTTGAACCTTCCTGTTTAAAGACTGTTTTGCTGTTTTTATTTCCTCGCGCAACTTAATGATCTGTTTATCAACTTCAGCACGGCTTGGCATAGTATCTCTGGCTGAATACAAAGCATACACATTTTTTTCGAGTAGAGCAATCTTATTTTTCATAGCTTCCTAAGAAGGTTTTGCTCTCTGTTTATCTGTATTTTCATTAATTTCGCATTGCTGTTGTGATTCATTACCGGGTTTTATTTTATCTTCTTCCTCTTTTTTAATATTTGAAACTGACTGTATAATTTGTGTTTTTTCTGCAGGTTTACAGGTTGCCTAAAAATAAAAACTTTCTATGGCTTCTGCTAAAGATTCTCTTATTAAGCTACATAAATACAAAGTATGGCAATATATATGGTAAATACAAAACCCTATGGCTTTAAATCTAATATGTTTAAACGAGCAATTCGTTCTGGTCACAAGATACAGGGTGTTAGTTTTCTGTATATATGTATAAAACTAACATCCTGTATTTTGTGACCAATTGACGGAATCAATCATAAGAAATAAATCTATAATATAATGAATATTACTTCTATACTTTGAGATAGGCCATAATATTTTCTAATCAGTAAAGAGAAACTTTTTGGCGATTTCTAATATTTCTAGTACTCATAGGTACCTAAAATGATTTCGTCACTCACCTTAGAAAAAAAAATTAGTAGATTGGATTTATTCTTAGTCGCCGCTTGCAATTCTTCTTCGATTCTCTTAGATACAATATCTAGTTCCTTGTCGGATTTTGCTTGTAATTTGTAACTTCGCCACACTTCGTTAACTAATTTTTGTACATTTTGTACTTTCGTACTTGTATGAGCTTTTTTAAAACTTTCAAACAATTTTTGGTATAACTTGGATTTGTCTATGTGAAACGACAACTTATTTAAACATTAATTTTTGGCTAATGGAATCAATGGTAACACAAATGTTAACTTGCTTTACTATGCTTACAATACGTCTACTCGCTATAGTATCCAAACGAAACAATACACTGGTAGAGGAAATTTGGACAAGTGAACACCGCGCGGTAATTCCCCTACTCGGTTCTAAAGCGAGTAGGGGAATTACCGCGCGCTGTTCACTAAACGTATGCATTATTTGCGGGAATCCCCGAAAATGCGTTTCGTTTTCAAGCAAAGACAATGTGAGGGTTGCCATTCGTGTAAAAAAGTAAATAACTACCGATGACGTAATCATCATCTAGACTCCCCTACCCCCCATGTCATCCAAAATAAGCAAAGAAAATTGATATAATGTACTATGGGGTTTTTGTAATTAGCTACTGTGATATAAGGTGTCTTGTCTGGAAAAACCCCCACTTCGACAACCCCTCAGTCCGCCATTTTGAAATTTGGAGTGCTGAATTTTGTGTCAAAAAAAACTTACACTCCTCAGATTTTATCTCATTTGTTACTTTTTCGAATTTGAATTTTTGCTCATACAGGGTGGTCAAAAGCGCAAATTGTACTTTTTATCAAAAATTTCATATGCATCACCCTGTGTATTTGTGCAAGTTTGGATTCAATTTATTATAAGCTTTTTTTGATACTTGACACAAGGGTCTTTACGGCTATTTTTTTTCGGTTATTACAACGTCTTTTATGGAGCAGCTTAATTCCCTAAAATATCGCATCATCCTTGGAAACAAATAAATTGTTGATTAGTTACAAACTTCAAAATTAGCTTTGTGAGCTTGTTTGAAAATGAATTTTTCTAAAGAAGAAATAGTGATAATGGTGTTCGTTTTGGGCGAAGCCCAAAGAAATAGTACCCTAATATGCGAGATCCAAGG